ATATATAATAACATCCCAATATTTATGTAATGGTTTAGGAAACAAATATATAGACTTGTTCTGTCAACTATGCCCATTCATATTGTAATTCATATTCCTAATATGACATGATTCATATTGTAATTCATATTCCTAATATGGCATGACATAATTATAGGAAAATACTTGTATATAAATGGTAGAGTATTATTTAATAAAGTACTGGCAAATCTTTTCGTTCTCTGTTTTCACATGGTATCGGAGCTGGTAACCTAGCTCACCAACATTTGTTTTCTTGCCCTAATTTTTTTCTTGCCAATTGTCCAATATTATAGAGCGTGAACAATCTTCTAAAGAAGGTAAGAACAATGCCTTCGATCCCTTTTTTTCTCTACCATTCTAATCATCCAGGATTGGTACTTGTTTCCAAGCCTCTCAACAACAATAATTATTCTACCTGGTGCAGATTTATGACCATATCTTTGAATGCTAAAAATAAATTGGGATTTATACATGGTACAATATATATATTGTCTGTGAAGAGTCAACCAAACGATTATGCCTCATGGAAGAGATGCAATGACATGATTCTATTATGGATTCTTAATTCAATTACACCAGAACTTGCAGACAGTGTTATATATATATTCAATTACAGCCCTAGAAGTTTGGGAAGACCTTCAAGATCATTTTTCTCAGAGTAATGCCCTTCATATATTTCAGATTGAGAGGGCATCGCTTGTACTTCTCATGCGTAGATGACTGTTGCAGCTTACTATACAAAGCTGAAAGGATTGTAGGATGAATTGGGTTCCTATAGCGATATTGTTTACTCATATAGGGTAGATCATAAGAGACAACAGCTAATGCAATTCCTTATAGGACTAAATAACTCTTATAAGGCAATTAGAGGACAGATTTTATTGCTAAATCCTCTACCTGGTGTTTGCCAAGCATATTCCCCTATTATTCAAGAGAGAAGCAACACAACTTAAATGATACAATGAGACAACATAAACTATAGCCATGGTAGTTCAACGAGATGAATTCACAGCTCTGGCAGTTCAATCAAGACAAGATGCTTCCTCTCGCTCCAACTCTTTTAAACGTATGCCATTACATTACTCATACTGTGATAATGATCATCATACACGAGATACATGTTGGAAACTGCATGGTTATCCATCAGGCCATCCAAAACATAAAGCCAGTCGTTTCAACCGTCAAGGTCATCGTCCTCTTTACAACAAGTCTGCCTATCCTTCAGCCAATTATGTCAAGGAAAGTCCCACAATGCAAGAGATGCAGTCGGTCATTAATGGATTCTCTGATTTATAGTTTCAACAGATATTGTCTATTATAAATAAAAACCGGACATATCAATCCTCTCAACCTTAGGCCAATGCTACTATTACTTCTTCAGGTTTGTTGCAAGCACCATTCAGACTACCTTGATTGATTCTTGATAGTGGTGTAACTTATCACATCACTTCTTATCTGAATTTACTTATCAATAGTCATTAGAATTCTATTTTACTACCAGTTATTATGCTAAGTGGAGATCAGGCTCCAATTACATATATCAAGACTTTGCCTTTAAATTATATTATTTCTCTACAAAATATGCTTGGTGTGCCATCCTTTAAGGTAGATTAGATGTCTATAAGTTGAGTTATAAGAGGTCTTAATTGTTCAATAACTTTTTTCTCTATTGGTGTATTTTACAAGACTTGGTGATGAAGACAATAATTGGTTTGGATAAACAACGAGGCAAACTCTATTACTTGGTTGTATTAGAATCAACAACACCAACACCAAAATTCCAACCCTCTACTGCAATTGCTACCAAATCATTTTGTTCTCATGTCATCTCCTCCATCGAGTTGTGGCATCACTGTTTAGGGTATTTATCTTCCTCTTGATTAAATTTTATGGCCAACAATTTTCTCAATTTCTCTTTCAAAATCAATGATGTTTGTGATATTTATGCACCTTTAAAACAATGTTGATTTCCTTTTTTTGCTAGTTCAATTTCCTTTATTCGACCTTTTGAATTAATTCATTATGATATTTGGAGCCCTTATAAAATTTCTTCCATTTTCAATACTAAATATTTTTTTGACAATTATGGATGATTATTCTAGATTTACATGTGTTTTCTTTATGCATCACAAATATGAAACATAAAATTTGCTCATAATTTTTTTTCTTTTATCAAAACCCAATTTAATGCATCCATCACAAATATTCATGTTGATAATGGAGGGAATTTTTTTCTATGTGGAATTGTTTTCAACAAAATAGCACAACTTATCAACACTCTTGTGTTTATACACCTTAACAAAATGGGGTTATAGAGCGTAAACATCATCATATCCTTGAGTCTGCACGTGCCCTTCATTTTTAAGCTCATCTCCTTTGACATTTTTTAGTAGAGTGCATTCTTATCGTTGTACATTTAATTAATCGTTTATCCACAACATTTCTTTCTCACCAAACCTTTTTTGAGAGACTTTACGACAAGGTCCCCACTTACTCCCATCTTAAAGTTTTTAGTTGTCTTGCATATGCTACTAAAGTGCATGCCACACATAAATTTGCTCCTAGAGCTACACATTGTGTTTTTCTTGGTTACCCGATTGGCTAAAAAGCTTACAAGCTCTGTAAACTTATCACCTATAAATTTTTCACTATCTGTGATGTTGTCTTCCATAAACGCATTTTCCCTTACAAATCATCTTCGCCCATTCCTGCACCTTCTGAACCAACACCTGCATCTACAGCTCCTTCCCCCATCCTGCCTCTTACCATACCCGATCCTCATTCTACAGACTTCCCCATCTCCCATTATGAGTCTCCTACTCTAGTCCTTTTAATTTTTTTCTCCCTCAGTTCCAACTAATATCACTCAGTGACCTTCTCCTATGATTCCTGTGCAGCCTTTGTGTCGTTCCTAGTGCTATCACAAGCCTCCTCACACTTTACGTGATTACATTTACAACCAAGTAACATCTCCCAAGCCATCGTTAGCTTCCTTGTCTAGTCCACCCAAAGGTAATTTCTTTCCTTACCATTGCTACTCACCATAGCATTGCTCCTTTATTGCCACCATTAGTTAGGACATTGAGCCCCGCTCTTACATAGAAGCTGCTTCCCTTCCATAATGGCAAGCTGTTATGTAATCTGAATTGGCAGCCTTGGAAACTAATAACACTTGGTACCTCACTTCTCTCCCTCCAGGAAAAACACCTATTAGATGCCACTAGATCTACAAAATCAAACGTCATTCAGATGGCACCATTGAGTGTCACAAAGCTTGGTTGGTGGCGAAGGATTACACACAGCTATAAGGTATTGACTTTTATGACATTTTCTCTCTTACTGCTAAAATGAGTATCGTATGTTGTCTATTGGCTCTGGCAGCAGCACAGAATTGGTCCTTTCACTAGCTAGATGTGCATAATGCTTTTCTTTATGGTGATCTTCATGAAGAAATTTATATGTGTCCACCTTCTAGTCTTCAGTGACTAGGGGAGAGTTTAGTATGTCACCTCAACAAGTCATTGTATGGATTAAAGCAAGCTTCTTATCAATGGTTTGCTAAATTCTCTACAGCTATTCAAGCTGATGGATATTTTAAGTCTAAAGCAGATTATTCATTATTCACGTGTCGCAATAGTAAATCCTTTACCACATTGTTGATATATGTTGATGATATTTTGATCACAAGTAATGACCCCAAGGCTATATACACTTTTAAGAGATTTTTGCATAGTCATTTTTGAATTAAATATTTGAGCAATTTGAAATATTTTCTAGGCATTGAGGTCTCTTGATCGCAAAAAGGTATTTCTATCTCACAACAAAAGTACACTTTGAAAATTCTGAAGAATGGTGGGATTTTAGGTGTTAAACCTATGAATTTTTCTATGGAACAAAACATAAAACTCTCAGATACAGGTGGTTTACTTAAAGATCCATCTCAATATAAGCAACTTGTGGGGCGTTTAATTTACTTGACCATTACCCAATCGGATAGCATGTATTATGTACATGTGCTAAGTCGATTTATGTATGCACTACGTAAACCACACATGGAAGCTCCCTTACATGTGTTACGTTATCTGAAAGGTGCTCCAAAATAGGGTTTGTTTTTCTCTTTTCAAAATGATTTGTCTCTGCAAGCTTTTTGTGATTCAAATTACACTAGTTACCCAATGACTCGAAGATCCATTACATGTTATTGTGTTCTTTTAGGATCTTCATTTGTTTGTTGGTGAACAAAAAGACAAAAAACAGTATCACTCTCCTCAACAGAAGTCGGATATTGAGCCATAACAGGTACATGCTACGAGTTATCTTGGTTACATTTTTTGTTAAAAGATTTATGGATATTGCATCTGAAACCAACTTTGGTACACTGTAACAACAAAGTAGCTTTACATATAGTGGCTAATTCAGTTTTCTATGAGAGAACCAGACATATAAAAATGAATTGTCATTTTATTCAGGATAAAATACAGGATGAATCAATCATAACCAATTTTTTTACTTTGATAGATCCACTTACGGACATATTCATTCCACTTTTGAAAAAAGAGATTTTCTTTATTATGATTCGCAAGTTGGGAGTTCTCGATATTCACTCTCCAACTTGAAAGGAGGTATTAAGAAAGGATCAATAATCTCCCAATGTTTATGTAATGGTTTAGGAAACAAATATATAGACTTGTTATATCAACTATACTTATTCCTATTATAATTCATATTCTTAATATTCCTAATATGGCATAGTATAATTATAGGAAAACACTTGTATATAAGCTGCATAGTATTATTCGTACTGGCAAATCTTTTCCTTATCTGTTTTCACAGTTTTTCAATGTAAACACAATCTGTACTGTCTTGTGTCGGTAATGTAAACATAATGCATCGTGTGGAAAACGTTCTCATATCTTAAAAGTCGGGTAAAATAATTAAAATGATTATTTGAACTTTAAACACAATTAACAACGTCGGCCCCTCCATGTTTGAAGAAGATGCTCTTTGCTCGTAATGGATTGGACACTTCAGAAGGAATCTTTCCACAACTTTTCTAGATTAAATACATGAGTTGTGTACTGCTGGTGCCGTGTAAAAAAACATACTTGTATTCCATGCTTGAGCTTCAAAATCTGAACTCGATCTCTTTAACACAACCTAAGTCCTTGACAAAGCCGGTCCCCCCCCCGTGTTCAATAAATATTTCTCTTCTTACTTCTCACTGAGCTTGGAACTCCACAATCTATGGATCTAATCTGTTTCTTCATTGCTCATTTATTCATATCAGGTAACTGGTGGATATTGAATAATGCCTCAATATGTTTTCTGTTCTAATTCTAGAATCTAAATTAACAAGTTGTTAACCATATTATATATCCGCAAGCAGGTGTTGTTTCAACAACTTTTTCAGTAACAAACAGGTGCAACTACACGATATGGCCAGGGTTTCTGGCAAATGAAGATGATCCTCCTGCTTCTAACTCTAGCTTCTCCCTTCAAAGGGGACAGTCAAAAACCATATCAGCACCAGTTTCCTGGGGTTATCCTTTTTGGGGCCATACTTATTGCACTGAAGAATCCACAGGAAATTTCTCCTGCATCACAGGTGATTGTGGTTCCGGCAAACTAGAATGTTCAGGAAACGGCACGGCTGCTGCTGCCATATTGCCAGAGTTCAAACTTGTTGGTTCTGGTGGGCTTTAGTTTATTTCTTTTTCAATGTTAATCTTGTTGTGCCTTTAGCCCGCCTTTCCTTCTTGCGGTCTTCTGATCAGAATTGTACAAGTGTAGGATGCGTGGCAGATTCGAACGTAGCATATTCTTCAAAGCTCAAGGTTAATAGTTCCGGCGGGGAGATCGATGCTTGCAAATGTGTGTGCAAAGCATTTGGATCACCACACTATTGTGCCTCAGTCAATTACCAAATTATTTTCTGCGCAGGTAGATTCACCATTTCTCAATCTTGTAGCATTTTTTCGAGTTTGGTGTTCAATTTTAAATCATTTTGATATCTAGGGATAGTTTGGTTAGATGAAATCATGAAGAGTTAAGAAAGATTGCAGAAAATGGAAGTTGATTCTATCCTAAAAAAGAACAAAAAAAAGAAAAAAGGATGCTTCATATGGTGACTTTGGAAAGAATTTGAAAAATAATACCGTGGAACTCTAGCGTATACACTAATTTTTCTTATTCTATATATTTTAATTATCTTTTGTTGTTTGATTTACACCCTTTTTTTGGCTTTTGATTTTAAGTGGTGCCTAGCTCTATCAAGTGTTTTGATTAAGACATCCTCAATGATTATTCACTATTAAAACTTCATGATTACAATTAATATAATTATTTAAATCTCGCAAATGACATTCCAATTTAAAGTTTATAAAACCCAAATCATATGTGGAGTGTCAGGAAGCTTTATATATTTTTTTTAATAATATTACTTTTAATTAAATAATTAATAATATTGAACTTACTATAAAAAATTTATTTGGAAGGCGTTATTTCTATCAAGTGCATGCCAAATAATAGGAAAATTTTGAATTTTATGTATTATAATTTTAATGACTATTAAATCTAACTAAACATCATTGTTTTTATTGATAAAAATGTTAAATATGAAATTTGTAAATGAGAGATTACTTGTAAAAATTTAAACTATTATTACTAATTACAAAAATTATAAGAAATTTATACCACACTTGAAATCCATAATATTTATTAATGCAGTAAGAAGTCAAGTTATTTTTTATTTTTATAAGAAAATAAATATATTTTAAGAATTAGATGAGCAAACCAAATGAAATGCAAGTCATTAATTATATTTTTAAAAAATAAAATAAATATAATTTATTTGTATTTTTATATAGTCTCTGGTGTATTAACCAATATACATGCCCAAATAAATATATTTTAAAATTAGATGAGAAAACCAAATGAAATGCGAGTAATTAGTTGTATTTTTAAAACATAAAATAAATATAATTTATTTTATTTTTATATAGTCTCTGGTGCATTAACCAATATACATGCCAAAGTCCAGGGAAGCATATTTGTTTTCATAGGCCATAAAGATAAAGCCTAATGAAGGTAAAAATAACCAACCCAAGAGATCGGACAAAACAGAGAAGATAAAGAAAATGGTTACAGGTGAAATAATCAAAATAACATAAAATAAAGATCACTAAGCAGCACATTCAAGCAACCAAATCTCTAATCCCTTCCATTGTCGACTCCTGATCTTCCAACAAAAATGTCTTCTGCAAAGAAACGTATATATGACAAACTTTATAGAGTTACGATAATGCAGACATGTTCGATTTCTTTCCAAGTAAAACGCAGTCCTGTTGAAGTATGGTTTCGTGCTTTCATCATTGTCTTTTTGATTGATTCATCCATTTGCAGCAAGAACTACTACTCCAAGAAGACGTTCGGCATCCGAGTCCACCACAACCTCCACAACAGTTTCAGCAAATGCTACTGCAAATGGCGCTGATTCGACGTCCGAGTCCATCGCAACCAGCCCCACATCTTCAGTGAAAGCTTCTGCAAAAGGCTCCAATTCATCGAGCAGTGCAACAGTAACTACCACTAACGTAACGGTGAAAACGCTAAGGCCCATGACATTCCCTCCAAGCCCTTTGCCAGATGAGAAAACACCAAGCCCTATGCCATTCGCTCCAAGCCCTTTGCCAAAAACAAGGCCTACTTCAAGAAGACGCTTGGCACCGATTATAGCAGGAGTAATAGGTGGTGCTCTTCTCATCATTTTCCTCATAGTGATTCTTATTTTGAGGGCGAGGTGGTGGGAGGAATCTGAGAAAAATGAGGATTTGGAAGCTGATGATATAAGGCAAGTTCCAGGAACGCCTGTGAGGTTTTCATATGAAGATCTTCGTGTTGCAACTCATGATTTCAGTGATACACTTGGAAAAGGAGGTTCCGGATCTGTGTTCAAAGGAGTACTGCTAGATGGGACTCATGTTGCTGTGAAGAAGTTGGACAAATTAGGCCAAGATATGAGTTCATTTCTAGTAGAAGTTGAGGCAATTGGAAGCATCAACCATTTTAATTTGGTAAGATTGATAGGATTTTGTGCAGAAAAATCATCTGGGCTATTGGTTTTCGAGTATATGAACAAAGGATCCCTGGATAAATGGATTTTCAAGAATGACCAAGGATCTCGCCTCGATTGGCAGACCCGAAATAAGGTTATACTTGGCATAGCAAAAGGGCTGGCTTATCTTCATGAAGACTGCCAGAAGAAAATAATACATTTCGATATAAAACCGCTGAACATTCTCTTGGATGCAAATTTCAATGCCAAGATTTGTGATTTTGGGTTATCTGAGCTAGTTGATAGAGATACGAGCCAAGTTCAAACCCGAACCAGAGGAACCTATGGATATATTGCTCCAGAATGTTATAAAACACCACCAGGTCGTATCACAGTAAAAATTGACGTATACAGTTTCGGAATTGTTCTCCTGGAAATAGTTTGTGCACGTAGAAATTTGGATCACACAAAACCAGAATCTGAAAATCATTTGCTTAGGATGTTACAGAAGAAAGCTGAACAAGATAGGCTCATAGACATTGTGGAGAATTTGGATGATCAGTACATGCAGAGTGATAGAGAGGAAATAATCAGGATGATAAAGATTGCTGCTTGGTGTTTGCAAGATGACCCAGAAAGAAGGCCTTTCATGTCAGCAGTTGTGAAGGTGTTGGAGGGTGTAATGGAGGTAGAATCAAACCTCGTTTATAAGTTTCATCATGCATTGATAAGTCCTGCTGTTGATCACCATACATCTCCACAGCCACAAGCATCTGTTCTTTCTTATCCCAGATGATGTAGTAGTGAATCTCTCTTTTGACAGAAATAAAATTCATCAAGCCTGTCAGCATTTGTATTGTTTTTCCATGTTATCCTAAACTAAGCACAGCTGTTTTTTGAGTGTTCATGCTTATTTCTCATAATAAAGATTGTAGTGTTGTTTGAAATTGCAAACCAATCATGAATAAGCTGACGGCTATCATAAGAGAATTTAAGAACCTGTCTGTGCAACTGTATTCTTTTGTTTTTGGAGAATGAGATATATATGGAACTGCATTCTCAAATTTGAAATAGAAGTAGATAATAAACAAGGTAAGTACAAAAGTGCAAGATGTAGGGACATAGCTTCCACCCAAAAATATATTGATAGGCGTTTGAGGGGGAAACGATGTCATTAGTGTGATTTTCAGTTGATTTCCTTTGTTCGACTCTCCTCGTATTCTAAACCATCAATTCCCGAAGTGGATGCCCCTGGACAAAAAAAATTTCAAGCTAATCTCTTCAAATAAAGAAATTCTTGTAAGCTTTCAAGTGTTTTTTTTTTTATCTTGAAATTTATAAAAAATAAATTTTCATTGGATCAAGCCTAAACATCTTTAATAACACTTTAAAATACTATCTAAAATATCAAATTACCAAATCTCGTTATATAATTCATGTCTAAATTCTTATTATTGCAGAGCACAAATTTTATTTTGATTTCACAAATAAATCAAGTTATCACATATCAAATCCAATAATGAATCAAAAAATTATTTATTTTTTATAAGAATATTTTAAATAAAAATCATACTTGGTCATATAATTTTAATAAAACAAATATTTCTACACGTGTACTTATTTAATTTCATGTATTTAAAATTATGTCTACAAATACAATACGCACCAACACTTTTATGGTTGTCACTATTACCTTTTTAGTCTACATCTAAATCCTTAAAGGGATTTATTAGTATATGGAGTGAATTATAGACCAAATGAAATTGTGTTTGAGTATTTGAGATATTGAAGAATTCTCTTTATTACTTCCCAATTCTTAGTTGGTGCTTGAATTTATTGACATAGTGAAAACTCTATGTAATATCTAAATGTATAAATCCAATATAATATAGGGCTCTAATAGTGCTTTTGTTGAATTAAAGATTATTAAATTTAGATCTTTTAAATTTGAATAAGTAACTAGTGGTAGATATTAGTGTTATATAAGATTTTGTTTTATCCATGTTTATTTTTATGAGTAGGTTTGCAACATATGTTATTCAGATGAGAAAAATGTCAAGATGATGATGTAAAGTTTCAACACTAAAAAAGAAAGATGCCTTAAATTCTTTACTAGAAAGACCATTGACAACTAGTAGATCAACTAATCAATTGTTTTTATATTAGAGCCAATGATAATAATATCATCAATATAAATAAGAACGATGATGTGAATTTTATCTTAAGAGTGTATAAAGAGGCATCTTCTTTAGAGCCTATAAATCTATATGAGTGAGTTGATCTATAAGTCTTGAAAACCTAACCCTTAGGGCTTGCTAAAGGCTATAAAGACTTCTTATTAATTTACAACATGAAATGGATAATTAGGGTAAATAAACCCTTGTGATTGTTGCATATAAACATCTTATTTAAGGAAGGCATTGTGAATATCTAGTTAATGCAATTTTCATTAATTAGAAATAATCAAGCAAACTATGTTTTGTTTAACCACTAGACTAAATGTATCTATATAATTAACACCTTTTTGTTAATGAAAGCCTTTTACAATAAGACATGTCTTAAAACATTCAATGCTTTCATTGGTTCATTTTTTAACCCAAAAGACCCACTCATTGCCAATAAAATCATGATCTTATTATGGTGGAACCATGTCCCAAGTGCCATTTTAAATGAGAACATTGAACTTATTAGCCATCACCTCTCATACCTATGAGGTTATTTTAAGATTTTTATATAACATGTGAGCTCATAAAAAAAAAAAAAGATTGCTTTAGCAATACGTACATGAGAAAAATGGTACTTGATATATCAGGCATAAGATGTTTTTAGTTTGAGATTGATGGTCTTGACCTCGTGGTCATTCTGTGTAAAGCAGAAGTTGTTGTGTTACTAGAACTATATAGGTCAATAACAAAAGCTAAGTTTGAAAGTTCATGAATCTCTATAGTATTGACAACATCTATAAACTGATGTATCATGGCTATTTCGTTTTACAACTGATCAAATATAGTTGGTGTTGCTCTAGGTTGAGAAAGTTCAGTACTTGTAAAACAATTTAAAGTATGTGTGTATAGAGGATTTATAAATAATAGGTGGACATGTTAAGACATTTATAACCCTAATATTAGAGACTATAACCAATAAAGATGCAAGTTTTTAAGTGAAAAAAAAATCTTATAATAATTTTATAGTCATAGGTTAAGACAACAAACATAATAAAAAAACACACATGAAGTTATAATTTTGTTTTTTATAGGCTTTTTTATAAGACGATTGATCTTTAAAACTTTTATAGGTAATTGATTTATGATATATGTTGCAATTTGAAATGCATCTTCCCAATATTGTTGTGGAAGATTTGAGTTAACTAATAAAGCCTAACCTATTTCAATATTTTAGCATAATTCATTTGTTAATGAGTACAAGGGCATGCAATATGATTATCAATTGCACATGATTCCAAGTAATTATTTAAATGGCAAAATTCATTACCTCGGTAAGTTTGAACTACTTTAATTTTGGTATCAAAATGTCTTTCAACATACTTTTAAAATTAAAGGAAAATATTTTCAACTTCAAGATTTTGTTTGAGTGGAAAAGGCCAAATAAATTTGGTGTAATCATCTAAAAAACACATATAATATCTTGAATTATATCTAGAAGTAACTTCACTAGTCCCTATATATCTGAAAAAATAAATTGTAAGGGTTTAGTAACATGATGAATAGATTTTTGGAAGGTCAAATTGTGGCTTCTCACAATCACAGCAAATAGACTGCATTTTATTGAATGCAACATGAATTTTATTTGGGTTCAATACTTGGCTGACAATATACAAAAAAAAAAGGAAGAAGAAGAAGCATATTTTAATCTTTAATGCTAATTAGAAACTAAAATATGATCACCAAATACAAAATGAGTAAGTTGATAACGAGGTTATGAAAAGCAATACATCTTATCTTTAGTGTGACCTTTATATAGGATGTTCCTCGAGTAATCCTTAATAAAAAAAAAAGTGTCATGAAACTCAAAGTAAACATGATTATCCTTAGCAAAAATTTGAATTAAGATAAGACTATTTATATTTTAGGGCATTATAAAAATATTATCAAAGACAAAGGATTTTGAAGATGTTGATAAAAAGTTAGTATCAATATGAGTGATATAAAATCCTAAATCATCATCAACTTGAATTTGATTAGTGTCAATGTTCTCTTTTATCATGAATATTAAGATTATTGATATTATTTGTTAGATGGTGCATTGCTCTTGAATTAGGATGCCATTCTTGGGCTAATATATAAAGTTGTTGGTGAATAGAAAGATGAACTTGTGCATTTTGGTAAGGAGGTGGTGGCAAGAAGGCAGGGTCATAATGTTTATAGCATCTAGATGTAGTATGTCTATTGTTGCTACCCAATTTTTGACCCATGTTTTGATAAATTTTCAAAAAAAAAAAGAAGAAGAGAACATGTTGTGATAATATAGAGAACCAGGGTTAATATTAATAAAGCAATATATCAAAGAGATAATTACTGAATTATATATAATTACTATAGTATATAATACCATAGATATAGAATTTGATTTATGCTGGTTATGAAAAATAATCGTTGTAATATAAAATACCAAACATAGAAGATTTGTTGGTGTTGTTATAGAAGACAATCTCTGCAATAATTATTATAATATTTTTTTAAATAGTACGTGTAGAGATTTTCTATATAAGTGAACTTCCAACCATATGCAAAAGGGGGAGTAATTTAGAGATAAAAAATAGAGGGCAAACAAAAAAACCCTAACCCTATTCTCTTTAAAAAAATCCACAGCGGCTACCCCTCGACCTTGTCCAAAAACAAGCAAACAAATCGGCCCCCTTCCTTTTTTATTTTTTTTTCTTCCCAAGTTGCCAGCCAACCCCCTCTCTTTTGGCCAAAAGCCAGAGAGCCAAGAGACAAATAGTCGTTGCCCTCTGTTGTTTTTGTGTTTTTGGTGTTTCCCCCTAGCCATCTTCTGCTTCTTCCAGAGTCGTCCCCGCTCTTTTTCCTTTTACTACCTCTACAATGCGGGCTCTTCCTCTTACCCATAGTTTCTCATCACCAAGCCTTCCCTCTCTATAGCTCAACCTCTACAGACTACCTCCTGACCATTTCTTCCCCTTCACTAGAACACCTCCTCCCTAGTCTTCCCCCACAGAATAGCATTGTCTTCTACTGACCAGAGAATAGGCTGAGCCAATCCCTTCACTCTTCATTCCTCTCTGCTACTAACAACAGCTCATTATAGAGAAAATGGAGAGATAAAAAGGGACAACGAAGGATGGTAAAGAAGGAGTAAAAAACTGAGATTCCAAGGGTGTTGACTCTCAAAGATGGCAGCGATGGACGACGCCGCCAGAGTAAAAATAAAGTAGGAGAAGGAAAGTTGTTGATCTGCCATCCACACATCTGGTCTATTTGTAGTGCGTACAACAAAGCCTAGCTCTAGATTCTGAAGAAAGAGAGAAGCAGATCTAACAAAAAAAATGAAAAACCAAATCAAATTGTTTTTATTGCAATTTCATTGTTTTTCGCAGGTCATGGTATCACTATCGGCAAAGAAGGGAAGAAGAGAAGAAGCAGTTTCAGATCCTAATATTTTTCTTGGATTTTGGCGGTGGCATGTGAACCCATGCATCGCTAGTGGTGGCCACGCATGAAGGAGAAGCGCTACCACTATTTTTGTGGTCCAGAAGCCTTGCTAACAATTTCCTAGATTTTTAAAGGTTATTATATAATTTTTTATTTGTGTGATGTGTTGTTTGTTTTATTTTAAATTTTTAGTATTTGTAATTACAAATGGGTGTATGAGAAAAATATAATAAAAAGGGATGTGTGTGTGTTTGTACTTTTTAATGTTTTAATTTGCATATGATCAAGTATTTTAGGGACAAATAAAATCACATTGTACTTCTC